TCTCCTGTGAGAGTGTGTGTGTGTGTGTGTGTGTGTGTGTGTGTGTGTGTGTGTGTTCAGGATCTGTATGTTTGTTTATGGTCAGGGCCTTTGGTACTTTTCATTGTAGCGGTGGATGGTTACACAGCCATGGTAGGAGATCGGCCTCGGCATGGCTGCCACTCCCGTGATGATGCCTGTTGCCGGGTCGTAACACAGGATGGTGTCTGTTGCTTCGCCACTTTCCCCTCTGCCACCAAGGATGAAGATCTTACCATTGCACACTGACATGCCACAGCTCTCCTGCAGGGAGAGAGAGGCAGAAATGAGAGGTTGCTGCATAAAAGTATCCAAACCAAGGATTCTGGCAACAAAAGTCGGCAGTTTGCTCTTTGAATGCTCCGGATCCGCATTAAATATAGTACCTGTTTGTTAAAGGTTTGAACCACATGCATCCAATAGTCCTCTGCAGGGTCGTAGCAGAATATGGACTTGGTGAGACCACCACACACGTAGATCAGGTTGTTGAGGGACACTGCTGTGATACAGCGCTTTGCGATGGGGATGTTGGCCCGTAGTAACCAAGTGTCTGTCTCTGGATCATAGCACTGAACCTGTGACATATAGGTTACATGTAGTTAGTTGTGTTTTATCTTGGTAAAAGAAAGAAGAAAGACATGTATATTTCTTTAACATTTGGGTGGGAAAATAGATAAAAAATTTAATATATGTAGCTCATTGTGTGGTTTTACTGACTGTTCTGTGGGCTGACTAAAGCCTGATTTTAATAGATAACCTACAACACGTGAACAACACAAGATCTCACTCCAACAGATAAGGACCTTAGAGAATGATGTGAATGGCCCCACTAGGAGACTCCAGAGATAAGTAACTCCAAGGAACTGGAGTCAGCACAAACTCTATTTCCTTTAGGTCATGTAGAACCAGGTATAAACAGATGACTATGAAGTTAGAGAAACATAGATTGTTGTGTTGCCACTTATCAAAGTGCCTCAGATGTGCATTTTGGAGCCTGCGCAGACATAAACAAACATACCAGCTATTCCACTGAGGAAAAATGCTTCTACTGAAGTGTGGATTCCTGCGAATGTTTACCACCAGCCTCCAGACTGTCATTCAGAACATAATGAAACTATTCCAGAGAAGCCTGTCAAGTCCTGATCTGTGGGCTTATCTAAACAAAGTATTATCCAATTACAACACCGGCACATCCAAAATGGTTGATCTGCCTCATTCTGCTATCTTTCTTCTTCCTTTACCCTTCCTTATTTCCATCAGCAACGTGTCACAACACATCACTGTCAGCTCATTAAATACATGCATTTCTATCAATGACTCATTGATGTTAAATTAAACACTGCACAACAAAAAAATTGGCCTGGAGATAATGATCAGGATATAATTAAAAAATGCTGTAAAACTAGCTTAATCGGGATCAACCAGACTGACCAGGATGTGGGCAGATAAACCGCCAATCAGTGAACAGGAAGAGATGCCGTTTCTGTTTCGGCGAATTAACTCACATCTCACCAGCCCCCTTTCAGTTGCTAAACATGTTTAGTAATCAATACTTGGTAATCCAAGAAACTTTATTTTATTAAGAAAAATATTAGCTTTCTGGGATAGGTCACAACAGTCAACTAGGCTTACTTTATTTATTCAGTTGCCAGCAGAAAGGTACACTAGTATGCCCTAATAATGTTTCATTATTCATCTAAAATATATAATCATGTAGAGTCTGTAAACTAGATCAAAGCTGCACATACTAACTTCACTAGATATTTCTTTCCTATTTCATTTTGTACATTTTATGTGGCACTGCTTCAAAACATTATTAACGCAATCACATTAGCTTGTAATTTATAAGCCTATTTAGCCTTTATAATACAGCCTTATTAAAATACCTCTCTTGACACCAACAAGATAAGTTGTTCAGACAACCCCCTGAGGAGTCAAATTTGACTTAAATGTCCCTTTGCATATCCTGTGTGTCTTTAGGGTATAATTACTGAAAACCGGTTACCTGAGACAAAAAACACCCCAGCTATCATCACCATGTACTCAAGTGTGTGGTTGGGCATTTAGCACACATCTGTTTCCCACCTTGTCTGAACAAGTGTCGTCGTCAGGCCCTCCTCCTATGACAAAGAGCTTGCCGGCGCAGCTGGCCACGGCCGGAGAGCTGACGGCCTCTTTCATGGGAGCCACCTCTGTCCAGCGGTTGGAGAAGGAGTCGTAACACTCCACGCTGCTCAGGCGGCTCTGCCCATCGTAGCCACCTACCGCATAGACCTGAGGGATGACAGACAAACAGATTATGAAATTGAGAGTTAGGGGAAATGACTTGTGTCATTTATACTTCTCCACAAATGTACACAGAAACACACATACACACTATAAGAGAGAGGTTTGTATTCATGCTTACTAGTTCATGAACAATAGTTTCTGCGTCAGCACTTAGAGAACCAGTCTATCAGGTGCAGAAGAAAGATGACGTACTGATTCAGAACAAGCAACTTTATCCTTGTCCTTGTTGTTGCTCTTTTATCTGTAAACACTGCCCTAGTTCCCTGCAGGCACCAATTAATTTAACTAACCCTGAACTTCAACCTCAACTGCCAGAAACAACACAACAATACCTTGAGCCACAACAGTGCCACAACAGTGCCACAACAGCAGTTTGTGGAGTCATGTGGTGTCATCATAATCTGTTTATTCCCTCTGTAATTTACATTCTGAATCATATTATCAGGCAGTAGCCACATTTTGTTTTTTGTTTGTAGCAAAATAATGAATAATTAAATCTGAACCGCTAACCATAAACAAACATAAACCTTACTAGAAGCTAAAGCATTACAAGCTAGAGAACTGTGTTGACATAAGATATGAGCTCTAATAGGTGCCTTGCGGGTTATACATGTTTCTCTCCTGGAGTGCAAAGAATGGCAAAATGTGGGAACATGAGGCATGAAGAATGGAAGAAAATGTAATAAAGGGAAAAGATTGGTAAAAAAAAAAACGCTGGTAGAGACTCCTAGTAAATTTCCTCCGTAGCATTCTCTGGAAGGAAATCACATGTCAAGAATACACATTGAGCAGCATTACTGGTTATAAGCATAATGCTGCTCATCAGGCTGGTCTTATGCAACAGAAAACCTTCAGGCTGTTCCTGTCTCTCCACAAAATCTGAAGTATAAACAAGTACAGAGGGCAGAGAGAGAGAGACGAGGAGAGGAGGCCAGAGGAGGGAGAGCGATCGAGGGGGAGGAGAGGGATAGGACGAGAGATGACGGAGAGAGAGAGGAGAGAGAGAGAGAAACAAAGAGACAAATAAAGATGGAAGGAAAGACAGGGAACAAAAAGACGGAAGTGGAAAGAGCACGTGGATATTTGCAACCAACACCTGGGCTAATTGATAGCACTACCGCCTTTTTCAACGGAAAAAGTGATAAGGAGAAAAACACAACAAAATCCTTTATTCTCTAACATCTCAGGTGGTGGCTCCAAAGCACTGTTGTTTGTGTGTGTCTTCGATGTGTTTTCAATGACAGCAACTTGCCAAACTAGCCCACATTTGGTGGAGTGCAACTGCCACATTGACTCACTAACTGAAATTTGTTCTTTTTCAAACTCTATGTTGACGCAGTAGATAACAAATGTTGACTACTGGTTGTTTGTTGTCACAAATTAAAGAGATGCAAAAGAAACAAAAGAGAGAGTAGTTAATCAAGTACAAATTGTTTGGGGAGGTTTTAAAAGGATTTTTTTCTACTGGCCTTTGAAGAATTAGTTTCACATAATTATAATCCACACAGGTTTTTATTTGCCCAGATTTCTACCTCCTCCATAATACAGTGGGGATAAATTGACACCAACAAGTCATGTTATCGTTCAAACAATTCCCTGAGGACTTTGAATAAAATGTTCCTTCGCATATTCTTTGTGTCTTTAAGATATAATTGCTAAAACCAAGTTATCTGAGACAAAAAGCGCCTCAGCTCTCATCAACTATGTCCTTAAGTGTGTGGTTGGACAGGGGGCACACATCTGTTTTCCCAGACTGAAATAGTGAACAAGTGCTGGCCCAGCTGGCCACAGCCAAAAAGCTGACAGCCTCTTTCATGGGAGCCACCTCTGTCTAGCGGTTGGAGAAAGAGTTAAGGCTCCATTGAGGATATCCAGACACTAGCTTGTCTGAAGACGGTCGTCTTAGGGAGTGGGGGTTGGGTCGGCATCTACTCGGTTTAAATACACTGTGAAGTAGAAGTATAACGATATAGGCACATTCCACATTCACTCCTTAATGATAGCACCTAACCTATACCGACCTGAGGTATGTGGCTATCACATAAACACCGAGCCAAACATGATTCACGACTCTCTGTGGACACACTTGCTAACGACTGCACAAGCACATTCTCAGCTTATTTTATGTCCAAGTTGAAACACTTACAATGGATGAGTGATTAAGAGCATGCAGAGGGGTGTGACTGCGAGAGAAACACACAGACTGAGCGACTTCAGGGCGAAAACGACATAGGAGAACAGAGAGAAAAAGATGGAGAGATGGACTGACAGAGAGACAAAAAGAGAGAGCATTATGATAGAGGAAAACAGCTGTCACCAAGTACAGCCATAACAGGGAGAGGAAAACAACTGGTGACCTATTTTTGCTTATACACTATGGAAACAAGACCAGTGCAACAGGACATCACAGAATACAGGACACTGAAAAGTGTGTGTTCTGGTACTTATATCCCACTATGAAACATATTTAGAACTTAATGTAAGTGATTGGATGTATTAAATGGAAGGTCTGCAAAGATTAATGTAGGTGGTCTCATGTGTACAAATGAGGAAATATTAGATTTTCAACTGAATATGCAAATTGTTTGAATCGTTTTTGAGGAAGTCAGCACTGAGGTCGTTGAACAAGCATATGTGCTCATTATACAGGCTTGTTTACAACACTCAGCCATGTTTCTCTACACTTGCAAGTGATGCATCAGTGCTGCACATCAAAAGGGGAAATTACAGACTGAATGAGGAAATTAATGGCTACAAGCTCAGGAGGAGGGGGAACTGAATTCGGAGGAAAAAAACGATAACAAAGAGAAACATCCTACAGACAGATAGTGTATCTTTTTGAGATGAAAGGGCCGATATAATCTGGAATGAAAACATTCGACATTCAAATGCATTCATTGGAAGAGGCCAATTTGTTACAAGATATGAGGACATGAAATGAGGTAAATACCATAGACTGATTGTTCTGGGGGAAAATGATAAAACAAATTAAGTACCAAAGTACCAGAGATGGCACAAAATAATGTAATTTACAAAAAAAAAAAAAAAACATCTCTCAGATAGTGTCATTTATCTTCAGGCAGTAGAATGGGTAGTAACTAACTAAAGGCATCAAAAAGGATGAAGCCACTCGACTCTCAAGAGCCTAAAAAATAGAAAAGAAGAAAATATGGGAGGGGGCAAAAGAAAAGACAAAACCACATGTGTGTGACAGATACAGGAAGTGGTCGGAGAGAAAAACCTCTCCTGGGATTTAACGTCTCTCAGGAATGTATTATCCAAGAAAGGGTCAAACGTATGTGTTTATGCTTACATACTAAAGCTCAACTCTTACCTTGCAGGCCTTGGATTTAAGTATGGAAATACAGTGCATGATAGTAACACGACTGATCGAAAGCTTTGTCCACTTATTTAAGCATCAAATAACTTCAAAATGAGAGTCAGCTGCAGATGAGTAACTTTAAACTTCCTTTTATGTTCTATAACTTTGTTTGAGAGTTAAATGGCAGCCATGTCAGTCCATCTTGTTTTCACCATACCTTAATACATGACTCAGTTTGGAGTTAATTACTGACTTTTATAGCCACAGTGTGACCGTCCAGCTGATTACCTCACTGGTGTGGAAGACCAGTGTGTAGTTTGAATGCACGCATGTGTGTTTGTTGTTTCTGTGGCAAGGCAACTAAGCATTTTGGGTGTTGTTTAGAAGTCACAGAAAATTCAATACAGACTGGCCTAAAGCAAAAATAAAAAAAGTATGTTTGCACACTTGCTGCAAGAACCCCTCCTGAGTCATGCCCTTTCTGACAAAGTAAATAAAGCATTGTTTTAGCCCAAAGCTTTCCAAAGAATACTTGAACTTGTTCCTATGTTATTTACGTTTGTATACAAGTGTGTGTTCTTGTACACATGACAGCCGAAACATGTTTAAACATCTATGTTTAAACCAAGACAATCAGTGGATGACCTTCTTTACACAACACAAATAACAGACAATTACGATCAAGAAGTTTTCAGGAGGCACACATGCCATTGTCATACAAGTGGTCAACATTTGTTTTGCGCTACAACCACAACTTCTACATGGTATGCAATGAAGACAGGCTTGACATTCCAGTTTAAGAACAATACAAAGCGCACAAAACGTGTAGTTACAAATATTTTGCAGGTTGGGGAGGGATGAACCTATTTGAGCTAATGATAGTTTCCTTTCTTGTAAATCAAATCCAACATACCATAGGAAAATGAACAGCCTTGCTCTATATATACTTACAGAGCAAGTGTGAAAATGATGCCTACGTATGCAAATCCAGCGTGTGTTTACAGGCTTATCAGGGCTTCTTGCAGCCATGTATGGCCACTTCAGGCTTATGTGGTTGAGCAGAGACACACGAGAAACATGATATGGGCAAGTGGACTAAGCCAGTCCTTAACTTGGAAGTGTGAGGTGCTGGCACACGTTCATTAAACTCCCACTGGCCTCAAACAAGAATGTCAACCTAGCCATGTAACCTAGACTGTAAATAGTAACAGAGTAAGAGCAGGAGCAATGATTGAGGAAATTAACGTTAGTCAAATTTCCTAACCTAACTGGAGTTAGATCTTGGTTTTTATGTGATGCTTAACATATCGTACAGTCCTGTATATATACACTGTATAGGGGGCTACGGTCAGGCGCATATTTTATAATAGAAAAGGATATGAAGATGTTTAAAGTTTTTACAAGAGATTTATATTTAAGAATAACTACAAGTGACGGTTGAACTATTTTCCATGAGTAGGGGATGTAATGGGTGAACCAGCTGGGCTGTTCCAGTAGCCGAGGGACTTGTTTATATGCCGGTTTTAAATTGAGACAAACTTCTTTCTCTCTGTTGGAACTCTTCATGTCTATCCGGGATGTGTGAAAAGAGCTGGTACCAGCCGTTTACAAACCCTGGGGCCACAAACGAATGTGTCAGAATAATAAATAATATCATTTTGCTCCTTGTCACAAGGTGTCTTCATAGACCAACGTGGAAGATCCCTCATAGACATAAAGCAGGCTGTAGTCAAATTTGACTGGTATTCCTGAGTGTGACAACTCTTCTGCTACTGATGAGTGACTCAGGACTAATACCAGGTATTTACTGTCAGTCATCACTAAGTATTCAGAGCCTCTGTGTGTTTAAAATTCCTTTAAGCCTGTAGGTAAGAGAGTATCTGTGACAGTGAGATAAGACATGATTGTAAAAGATATGAATGGAGTCTTTAGCATTCAAAGAGCTCCATGGAACATTAGATTACCTTTCCAGCAGGTGATTCCACGGAATTTCCTCATTGTGTAAATGTCGGGCACCTTGCGTTTTACCTCAGGTAAGTTCATAACAATGACAATCAAGACAATGTTGATACACCACATTGTCTTCGGGCATTTGTACTTGTGTTACGGCATAGAAACTGGGCCATGCATGCAACATTAACATGATTAATGTGGGGTATATGAGAGGGACAGATGACACGGCTATCTAGAGTTGCGATGGTGCTGTCAGCGAGTGAAATCTGAAGCTGAACTATAAATCAGTTCCTCCGTCAGAGGCATCCACATTGGGGTAACCATGCACCCTGATGCAGACTCATAAACCCAGCTCGAGGCTCCCTCCTTACCTTGCCCAGTAGGACACCCATCTTGTGTCTCCAGCGGCCTTTGTTCAGAGAAGCCACTCTGATCCACAGGTTGAGCTGGGAGTTGTACATCCACACGTCCCTGCTGTTGATACGACCACCTAAGGAGAAACGGCAAAAGACAAACATACAAGACAATAATTAATATTCAAAATGGTAGTCAAGACAATTTTGGATTCAGTCGAGCAGCACAGGCAAACAGTAAATGTAGTAGCTCTCTTTTTTTAATCCAGTTGATCTGATATAAATGATTATTTAAAAATAAACCCAAGCTGCACTTGGTGAACAGCCAGCTTTGGACAGTGTGTTTATGTCAAAGTATTTTTAGATTTTACTGATTGTTTTTTATATCTATATCTCCAAACAAGGTCAGAGTTGTAAGTGTTTTATCTAAATTTGACCTGAGAGAGTTCATCAAGCAAATAAAAGGTTAAAAATACACATGCATACATAGTATCATGTCTCATTATGTATGTACATGTGTTGAATAACAGTAATCATCATCAATAATCAGTTTTTAAATTATCTTTAAAGCAAACACACCATTATCAGCATCTTTTGCAGCTAACAGACCTATACGAGTGCCTGTTCTGTTGTCTCTGGGCAAACATGCATTGTACGAAGTTGTAGAGAATAACAGTCACCCGACCAGGCTACAGTGCAGACACATTTCTAACAAGCCCTGACACGTGCCCTCGTTCTCTCAATAACGCCCCTTCCACACACACACAGACACACACACACCTGCCTGTTGATTCTCCACAGACTGGGGGAAGAACTTAACTGAACTTTTTAAAAAAAAACAGTAGGTAGGTGATGAAATATGGGTTAACCAATCAAAACCAGGAAAAACAAGTGTCAAAATTAAATTGAAGAGGAAAAATCTGATATTAAATCTACAAGTCATTTAAAAAAACTAGAGGAACTTTGTTACCACTGCACTGCCATTAGATCCTGTAGTAGTTATCTGCTGGCTTTTATTCAACAATAAGTTCTGAAGAAATATATCATGGGTAAAGCACGGATACCAACAAGACTCAAGCACATAAACAGAAAGGTCAGTGACAATCTGTGTTATTTCACACCAGGACTTAAATTTATCACACGGCGGTAACTAGAATAAAAAATATCTCAATCCATTACACTTTGTTGTGGTAGTGTCTGCTGTTGGCTGCTGGGTGTTTTCTTTGTACAGAACACATGTGGGTGGTTATATTGAGCAATGATAAAGGCATAAAGAAAACCTGCCAGTGTAAACAAAAGGTGTCTAAGCCTCTTCTCTATTCACATGCAGATAAAGATGCATTTTCCCCCCCTATTGTTAGTTAGCTAACAGACAGACTAGACAGGTGGGGATAGATATTAGGCTTGTGTTTCATCCTAAAAATAAAAAAATCCCTTCCTTTAAAAGGTAATCTTTATAAATAAATCAGTGGCTATACACATCTACTTCTTCTCATTTTTGTTGAGGAGTACAATTATACTGTAGCACACAGACGACAGGAGACAAGGGAAGGAAGTTGGTGTCTGCTGGATAGTGGAAGAGCCAGACAGTCTGCTGCCCTTAAGGCTTTTGTTTTTAAAGATTTGCATGAAAGAAACATGTCACAACTGTTGATGGAGGACGCACCACTTCAAAGAGAGCCTTGTAAACCCGGAAAGCTGGTAAAAAAACTACCACCTTCAGAAGGGGGGCTTTTTTCACTAAGAACTCAAGTTGTCCCACCAGCTCAAATGAGGAAAACCAGTTGTTAATGAGCACGAGCAGCGCCTATGGGAGGCCCCAATATGATTGGTGCTTTCTGATGCATTGTTATGCATTGCTTACAGTAACATGCAGGCTTAATGATAATGTGACTATGACATGCAACTCTCTGAAGGGTGTGATGCAAGCACATGTGCTTTGCTGCTCATTAGCTGATAAGATATTATCCAAATGTGATTTCCTGCAGCGGAGTGAGATAGCAAACAGAATGTATCTTGTAAGATCAGATCAGAATTGAGCTGACTGTAATCTTAAGTACTCAAAACATTTTGGGTGTTAATCCAGCATGCTCACTCTGCATCTGACAAAGAGGCTATGGACGTTTTGTATGCTGAATCAAGCCACATCCTATTTAAGACCACAGCTAACTGCAGCTGTGCTCGAGACTGGAGGCCCTCCAAGGTATTTACACCAGTTCCCAAGTTCCCAGTGTGAGGAGAGGGCCAGACAGTCTGAATGGATAGGTATGTGTGGGAATGTAATCGAGAAAGCAACATAAAAATAAAGTTGAGAAGAGTACCAAGGCATATGGGGCAACAAGAAAAGAAACTAGGGCAATGAAGATCATGATATACTTTAAAGTAGGCTAGTAGTGTGTATGTATATGTGTGTGAGTCAGAGAGACGGGGGGGGGG